GGAGCTATAACTGATTAAAAATAGGTCTGATTTTAGCATTATTTTACTGTATAGCGGCACAAATACGCACAAAGATACCTATGTTTGATGCGCACGTACGGTATTGCTATTGGCCAAAAGATGACCGAAAAGAATGCAAATTTGTGAAAACAATGTCAAGAACCCAAAATATGTAAAATAACGTAATTTCTAGTTTTCATACGTGTGCTGCGCACGTAAAAATGGGCACGCGTAGTGGAAAATTTAAAAAAAAATTGAAATGCTCAAAATGGCCTGAAACGTGCTCTAATTTAGTCAAAAAGTGATTTTTAAAATTTTGGCGCGCGCGTAGTGAAGCGCACGCGTCAAATTAGGGTATAGTACATTCAACATTAACCCGAAATTAATGCTCACTTAATACGATTTCGAAATAGCAATTGGTTAGGCTGATATTATCGATAATGTAAAAACGCAAAATTGTGCGTAGATGACGTCACGCATGACTGAGCGCGTTGAAAAGCTTACCATGACTATTCCAGACCAAGCCAAATGTTCGCTCACAGCAATTTTGCGTAACTCGTGGCAGTTTTTGAGATATCGTGCGAACAGAAAAGGGGAGAAAGAAAGAATAAAAAAAAGATGAAGATGATGATGATCCTGACAATAACAAGAGGTGATCCGCTAGTGTTAGCGGATCACCAAATAGTAGGATAAATTAAGTAAGTAAATGAATATATAATTCATACCCTAGTTTTTCTGCGGTAATAATCTAAAGCCTCGACATCTCGGGCTAGTCCAAAGTCAGCAATCTTGACCTCCATTGTCTCCATAACAAGAATGTTCCTGGCTGCTAGATCTCGATGTATACACTATAATAGATTGGAAAAATAACAATTTTTTAGTCATCCACCTAAACTACTAAACTAACAGTAGTGTATCTAGGGGCTGCACGCCCCTCTCCAAAAAATAGATGTGACCCAAGACACACGCCCCGAAAATCATGCTCAAGTAGTTAACAAAGAATTACCTTATTTTGCGAGCTAGTACCCCTCACCTAATCATCAAGCCCCCCCATGTGACCTTCACACTCCAACATCAACTCCCTCCGATTTCAAGATTCCTAGATATGCCCCTGTAAACTACAGCTAGTTGATGTAAATATACACGGTACAATACCGATACTGATGACGATACTGTATATCTCGCATTTGCCTTCGCTGCTAAAAAGGTGACCAAAATGATGAAGATTGCTAGAACGAGACCGTGCTTAATGTTTCATTGTTGGATGGAGGAAAAACAGTTCATACACACACCAAAAACCTACACAGTGAACTGGTACTAGACGTGCAGCAAATTGATGAGAAGGTGATTTAGTATCATTGGAAAGTAGATAGGCCTAATTTTTACTTTCAAACCATAAGAAAAATCACTTTATTAGATAACAGCGCCTGAATTTAGGCCACCGTGTGCAATATTCTAGGCTCTGTTAATGTGCTTAACGGCGTGTGTAGGAGTGTGCCAATTCATATGCGACAAACTTCTCCATATGTAGATCTATAAGTGTACTAGAATAATGTCTATATACATCTAATTCTTTTGTATTAGTTTTCTATATTAGATTCTGGGAGAGGGGATATGAAGTTTTATAGAATGGTGGCAACAAAGCTGTAGTCAACCATGCTACCTTCTTCGATGCCAAATACTGCATGCCCTGGGAGACTTGGTTGGCAATCGTCAGTAGGCTTGTGACGTTCATTAACAGTTTTCCTTCCACCTCATCCGAATGCATTTCCTCTAACTGACATTTTTGGCGGAGAAAGTCTCGCAAATTGCCATTTTTAGCATACTCCACAATTATCAACAAAGGCCCTAAATGGGAAAAATGACAAAATTATTAATTAATTGATTGATTTACAATAAAAAGGTTTTGAATGTGACAGAATTAAATCCAATGCAAATAAAAGGGTAAGAAAAAAGTAATGATAATGATGATGAAAAAATAATATATTTAATTAAATAAATACATAAATGATAAATCAACAAACAAATTTTTTTCTTTTCTCTACAAATTAGAACAAAGTTTTATCTTACCATTTTGTGTGCAGCAGCCAATCAGGTTAATGATGTACGGATGACTTCCGATGGACTTCATTAACTCCAGCTCAGACACAAAGTTCTGTAACTCATTGTCATCAGCCAATGCTTAAAATGAATTTAGGAAAAGCAGTAAGGGGGCCATCCATAATTTTCAACATTTTCAAAAAGAGTACAAAACATATGCTTTAGGTGGGAGGGGGTAGCAAGTGTAGATACTCTTTAATGAAAAAGATAAAATGATGATCTCAAATTGATACAAATCAATATTTTATTGTGCACTCTTTTGTGGAGGGGGGTCACAGAAAAGAGTATATTTTATAGTCTTATGAAAATGTTGAATATTATGGATGACCCCCCCCCCCCCTAAATAAACCAGACAAAAGAAAAAAAGACACAAGAACACATTCCAGTCCCATCAAGATAAATAAAAGATATTTTATTTTATATATTATTTTTCTCAGATACATAAATCTTTTGAGGTGCAATATATTTAAAACAAATCGATGATTTTTTTTAAATGATAATTTAAACTAACATAATAATTATGATGCATTAATCTTATTTAATTAATGACACAATTTATCTTTGTATTCCTAATATTTAGCTGTTAAAAAAAATTGAAATTTATATTTTATTTTATATATTATTTTTCTCAGATACATAAATCTTTTGAGGTGCAATATATTTAAAACAAATCGATGATTTTTTAAAAATGATAATTTAAACTAATATAATAATTATGGTGCATTAATCTTATTTAATTAATGACACAATTTATCTTTGTATTCCTAATATTTAGCTGTTAAAAAAAAATTGAATTTCTTTAAATAATGTTCATGTTAAGTTTTTCTAAATGTTTTGTAATGTGTCTTTGGTATGACATTCACCTTCCAATTGTTTTAATGAACATTAACCTACGTCTTTTGTACATGAGTTCCTTTATTTCTTCTCTGAATAAAGTGATTTTGAGATGAGTTTTATATATTTTAATTCTTTCATCTTATATTTTATTTAACATTTTTCAAATGCAACACTATTTAGTCTTTTGTCTTCATATTGTAATTACAGTTTTTACTATAGTTTGTAATTTTTGAAATACCTTCTAACATTTTTACTGCGACTAATGTTGTTGTATTCTTTTCAGCTATCCCACACGCCTTTGCAAGTCGTACCTCACCAAAAGCACCTTCGCCAAGTATCTCCCCAACTGTCAAGCTAAGCAATGCAGATATATTATCAGTTGTGCAGACAAGGTCTGTCTTATGTATGGTAGAATAGAACCAAAAGATAGAGAGGGGTAAAAAATGAAAGAGGTGGGTGAGGATAAGCCAGTTACCACAGGCAAGAAACAATATATTCTAGAATTACCATTAATAGGGATCTTGGAGTCAAATCCAGATGGAAACTCATCAGGGGTGGATCCAGAATTTTTCAAATGGGGGAGGGGGGCACAACAGTTTCAGAATAGGTAAATAAGTAAGAAGCACATAACATTGATTTGCATTGAAATTTTTAAAATTTAGTAGTAAAACAGGGGGGTGGGGGCCGGGGGACAAGTAATGGAAATGAAAATGGGAAAAGACATGTAAAACTTAAGTTTTAATATATTTCTCTTAGTAGTTCTCACCTTTCTCGAGGGAATTCCCATCTATCTGGCTTGATAGAAACAGAAGCATTGTTGGGGATGTTACAATTTGTTGTGTAGATATTGCTTGCTTCAACCTAAAATATATGATTAAAAATTAAAGAGTCAGACGTAAAAGAAATGCGAATGAATCCCTCTTGTAAATAATACATAACCTCAAATAGAGCTAAATGAATGAAATGCTAAAACACAATGATTATGATAGTAGTTATGATGATTATGATTATGATGATGATGATGATAATAATGATGACAATGATGATGACAATGATTATAAATTCAGTAATTATACTGCTTACTATGTATTTTCTTTCAACAAAGAGTAAATCAAAGTTAAAACTAACAGAAGAATAAGTATTTCTAAATGATAATTATAGCATTTCAATCAAAAGAAATAAATAAAAATTTGCCTTCAAGCAGTATAACAAATCAATATCAGATACATGCATATTAAAACATACAATATTCTTTTATTGTCACTTATAAGTAAATTCACAAGTAAAATTCATTGTTGTTGAGTGAACTGCGCAAAATACAGCACAAGGTATTGGAAAAAGATAATTATCAGTCAAAGTTTAGCACTTTAAATAATACAGAGATGCGAGTGAATGAATTTCTTAATCCACTGTATTAGAATTGCACTTTTTATGACGTAGGTGACCAGATGTGTTAATTGTGTATGCATGAAGCTTATGGTGGGAAAGATCATTAATAATGATGTCTAATTTCTTAAGTACAGATTTATTATAGATGTCATAAAGCTATCAATTTTGGATCCAATGATTTTACAGGCCGTTTCAAGATCCTGAGAATTTTAGTGTGATTTTGTTAACATAAAATTTCCAAACCAAAAAATACAGTTGCTAACTAAAACACTAAAAATAAAACTTTAAAAAAAGTATTACTATTAATTTATTGTTATTGATATATTCAATAAAGAATATAGTCAGCAGTGTAATCATCGTCTTTCTTTACAAAAAAAAAAATACAGGAATATATTTGTATGACATTTAAAAGATAAATTAATGACCTTTATATTAAAAAGAAAACACAACCATCAGTTAAAGCTTGTTTGTTTTACCGGCTACAGTGAAAAACCAATTGTACTTTGAAATCATACTAATAACTTCTTCGATCAATAATATTTAGTTTTTGTCATCAAGCATAATATTAACGTCATTTTATAAGCAGCACATATTCATCACACTCTGTGTTCCTTATTATTTATTTCTAGACATCTTGTAGTATTATGCGCTATACAAATCTACAACCATTACCATTATTCTCAAAAGGCCAATGATATGTCAACAGTGAATTACTGTATCACATTCAAAAGACAAACCACATACAAGCTTTAGGGAGCTGTGCAATTGCTTTAAAGCTGTAATGAAGAATGATGATGATATATCGGTATCAAGGGCAAATTCTATTCAATTGACTATAAGGTAAACATAATTAGACGTCAGTTGTAAAAGCATCTTGTTTATTTATTAGGCAGCTTTCGCCACACGACATAAACCTTAACGGACGACATCATAATTTATTCATCTTGCGTTGTGGAGTACCTTAATTTCAGGATTTTACGTGCTCGATGTACGTTAGTTACGGGTTTGAGCATGCGTATTTCGATTTGTTTACAAACGGGGCGGAGCTTTCGTGGCACTTATTAATTACTAAGTTCACTAATGGAATGCAGTAGTGGCTGTAGGATATATTTTCTGAGAAGGGGGAAGGGGATAAGCTGTCCGACAGGGGGGGGGTGGCTGAGTGAAATAAGTATAACTTTGCCGTTTGAGGGCCTACAGACAGAATCGGGGGAGGATCTAATGAGATTTTTTTTTTGGATAGAGACTTCTGGGTGGCCAGAAATGGCACTCTCAGACATGAAACATACTTTTTAAATGTAAAGTTGACAAAATACCGTACAATTGTTCCTATACTCTCAAATTATCACCTCAATAAACACGCATTTCATTTCATTAGACCTTTTTTTGTCCAACTGCTCGACGAGCTCTGGCTGGTGGGGGGAGGGTGCTTGACCTGTTCGATGAAGGGAGGGGGCTTAAGCCCCTGCTGCCCTCCGCTGGCACCGTCACTGCTGACATTCATGCTTAAAAAAATGAATAAAATACACAAAAAATCCTAGATTACCTTGCATACAATGTTGTTAATGTTGCTCATCTTCACTTTGTGGTATGCTACTGCCTTCTGAGTTTTGTATATAAGAATGCAGCAACCAACAATAAGACACACACCAAGCAGTGAACCTAAACCAAAGACGACGAAAGCACGGACGACGACTGGAGTTTTTTTGGTGGTCTCGGGCGATATTGACAGCACACTGTTGGTATCTGGTTGATGTGCAACTAAGAGAAATGAAGAGTTGAAATTCACGGCACATGGTAATTTCACTGGTTTTTAACTGCCAAAGTACATGCAGGGCCGCGTTTATGGGCAAATCCATTATTTTTTCTTATGCCTAAATGTTAAGTTTAGAAATATTTTCGAATTTCTGTGACCTTCATGACCTTTTCCTTAGATGAATATGTACCACTCCACTAAATTTTATGATCATCCATTAATTGATTTTTGCATAATCCTAACAGACATACAGACAAACAGTGGTGGATACATAACCTCCTTGGCGGAGGTAATAATATGCGACTCCAATAATAAAAATTTCCTCATATCCTCATATTATTTAAAAAGAAAATTATTATGTCATAGGCTCTACAAAGCATAGATAACTTGATCAAAGTCTGGCATTTGTGGAATAATAATAAATAAAAGTATCTTGAATATTTTGTACACAAAACAAAATAAAACCCTTACCATTCTTGATAACAGAGATCCAGATACCCTTATATGCATACTGATTACTCGTCCTAGCAAAACATGTGTAGTTGCCAGAATTAGAGGGTTTTGCAACTTTAATAGCCATATCTCTACCTGTATTCTGTTCAAAACATAATATGTTTTCATCTATATTCAATTTTCTAAATTATCACCATAGTTCCTCAGGTATAAAGCCATCTTGGGTATAAGCCACACTCCCTACTTTACCTCAAATTTTACGTACCAGCTTTTTCCTTTCCTTAATTTGAATGAGTAGCTTAACTGACTTTGGCTTTGAAGTAGGCATGTAGTGATGAAAAATTGCCTTTTGATTGAAAAGGGGATCTCCAGGGTAAGCCCACCCTAAAAAATGTCAGTGTTCACCCGAAGCCGTTTTAGCCATCAATTTTACCAGTAAAAATAACTAACCAACCAGTAAAAATTGTGTGTTGGTAGAAAAAAAAATAGCACTTATTAGGCCTAGGTCGCCTAGGCTGACCTTCTTTAAAAATGAACATCATTTCACTGTTCCAATCCAGGCCTAGGCTATGATTATATGTATTGTTGGTTTTTTAAAGTCATTTAACTCATCTTAAAAG